TTGGTTAGTGGAGACGGTGTTGGTTAGTGGAGTTGACACGGTGTTGGTTAGTGGAGGTGACACGGTGCGACTCAAACCAGCTGATAACACGGTTAATAAAAGGGTTTTAACCACGTGAACTAGAAGGAGAATTAAATTATTCATTCAACATAAAATCAATGTTTCCAGTTATTAATTGGAACAGAGAACACTTTGATGTAATGTAAGAGACTTTGTCAGAAATTACAGCCACAGGAAATTTGAACTGAGTCAGAACCTGAACCAAATCCAAAAGTGGGAATTTTTTTTTTATTCAAAGGCTGATGGATTGGGAGAACTTGAAGAGAAATATATCAAAAATTGAGGAAAGGTAATAATATGAAATCATATTATCATCACATTTGTCATTTAAATTAACACAGTAATGTGATTGTTACACATCACATGAATCTGCTACTTTATTACAGGCTTTTTTTATATATAGACACCATGTATTTAAACCCATTAACACCAGGAGAGTATGATGTAATGACAAGTGATGTCATTTTAATAGTTTCTTTGAACAGGTGTGTGAACACGTTCATACACAGTCGTTGTGATGAGAATAAAAAGGTAAAGAATGGAATAAGTAATAAACATTGATTTGTTTTGTACAGTTTATTCAACATATTTACCAGATGTAAATCATCTTCATCTAAATCCAGGCCTGATGTGGAGACTCTGTGGCAGAAACTCCCCAGACACAGATCAGACGGACGTCAGACTCCAGACTGTACACACTGTACATGTGGAGCAAAGTGTTTCACGAGAGCAGAGTGACACGACCTACAGCTCACAACTGACGCTTCCACCTGAGGTGTATGAATAAACCTTTAACCTTTAACCTTTAACGTTGTCTGACGTCTAAAATACGAGGACTTTCAGTCACACACCTGGGCAGGTTAACACATCTATTTATTTCTCACTCTCTAGATCTCTAGATCTAGAGTCCTGGGTTCACATTTCAGAAAAAAAAAAGATGACAAACTCAACACGTTAGAACAACTCAACAGTACAGGATATAAATACTCATCTTATTCAGGAGGGGGCAGTGTGTTTCATGATCCTAAGGATTAGAGCAGAGTTATCTGCGTCGTCAACATCATTTTAGACTAATAATAAATATCATGGAGTTGCATCATGGCCATGATCATGCATGTGCGACTTTACTAACACATAGAAAAATACCACGGTGCTTGTTTGTTTTTTTTCTTCTTTTTTTTGTTTGTTTTTCAGACCAAAACACGTAGACTTTGATGGACAGGAACACCGGGACGTAAAACCACGACCGTGATCTCTGTACGTACTGTTCCGTTCTGCTGAGTTTGGCGTAACGTGTATTAAAATAGGTTAAAATCCTCACTTTCATCACGTGACAGAGTCAGCCCTGAAGTGGACACATTATGTACAGGAACACATGGCTTGAGTCACAACATCAGTGGGTTCAGTCCAGAAGGTGGAGTGGGGAAAATCAACCCACATTTGGCTTCACTGGTTTGGCTGTCTGTCCTGCAGGGGCCGCTGTCCACAGGCTGTGAGTCAGTGGCCTGGTAACAGACACGTGAAGTGAGGAGACTTTTAGGTCCAGGATCTAAAATACAGAATCTTAAAGTTTAGGACAGTATTTAAAAAAAAAAAAAAATGGATACAGTACCTGAGACAAAACATCTAACTTTGTTTCTGCTCACCGTCTCCACTGATGTGCTGCTGCTGACTGACGAACTCTTTTTACACAAGTGCAGAAAATATCAACGGACCGTCACCATTTACCACCAGACGCCATTTAACTCACATTATTTTCTACAGGTCGACTTCCTGTTTTCACGGCTTCAGAGTTAGTGACCGTTTAATGCCCACAGACCTCGACTGTATTCTCTGTAAACATGAAGAGTTGGAAATGGCTGGTTGTCAGTAAGAAAATGGAAAAACACGCCTCGATTCCTCGCTACGGTCAGATGTACCCTGGACGCTCTGACGGCCTCACCTGGGGTTTTCAACACACTTAAATACATTCAGTGCACACGTTAACGGCTACATCGTCTTCATCTTCACAAAAAGCACTTGAACGAGTCTCCTCTGGTCCCCCCTGGATCAACATGTCCCCAAGTTTGATCAGTGATTTGTGTATTTTGTGTGGGAAGGCTGGGCCACACGAGGATTGGACCTGCAGTCAGCTTCTCACGGTCCTGTTTGATTTGGTATATTTCCTCTACCGAAAGCACACACACACACGTAAACACACATACACTCCCTGCAGCTGTACAGACGCAGACGCAGGGGCGCACGGCAGAGAAATGTCCAGTAAGGATCAAGACAAACGGCTCAGGCGTTCAGTTCCGCCTGATTGGCTACTGGTGAGTAGAAAAAAACGAGGTCCGGGGGCCGCACAGGAGCCGCAGCCTCCGACGGTCGATCAACGCTTGATCTGCTCCTGTGTTTTAGCAGCGGTCGTCCTCATCTGTGTCACTCAGTGGCTCGCCGGCCCCAGACGGACTCACCTGACCCAGGTGCTTTCTGAAATGCCCGTTGGGAACCTGCCAGGAGTGTCTGAGCTGCGGAGCGGAGCTGATGGCGTTGGCCCGTCCCAGGCTGGTGGCTATGGCGGTCTCAAAGGTGAGGGTGTCTTGACCGTCACCAGGCTGAGCGCCGCTGAGGTCCTCGTGGAACGGTAGGTATGGCTCTGAGATGTAGCGGTGAGGTGATGGGTGGCTGGGCGGTAGAACTTGACCTTTAGATGACCCTTGGTTTGAAGAGGGCACTACGTCCTCCTTGTTGGCTCTCAACGAGGCCTCTGTGGAACGACCAGGAGCATCCTGGGAGTGGGCCGCCGAGGAGGGCACTGCTGTGGTGGAGGTGAGGGCTTGACAAACCAGAGGGGAGTAGGAGATGTAAGGCCGAGGGCGGGACGGCGTCTGAGGCAACTGACGTCGATTACGAGGGGTACCGGAGTCTGAGGCCGCGTGGGCGGGGCTGCCGGAGGTGTTCACCTGCAAACAACCCAATCACAGCGGTGAAGAGATCACTGGTCCACGAATGACACCCACCAAGTTATAGGAAACAGATTTGGTCGAGGTCTGACCTGTCTCTGTGAGGCCTGCGTGCGAGCTTCGCTGGGTGAGCGGGAGCGTCTCCTCTCACATGAAGCATCCTGGCTTCGTTCCTCAGAGTTGCAGCGGGAAACGTCAGGAGACAGCAGGTGGCGTCGTTCCTTGGATCTCCCTCTTTCATGGCTACTTGTTTCTTTGGGGTTGATTCTCGAGCCTTGGAGAAGATGGCAAACAGGCAACATATTTATTTTTTTATAACTTATTATTATTTATGTGAGTGTTTTTCTGAACCCGACTGCGGTACTTGACCTCTGTAGCTCCTCTGCCGGGGTCTGTATGTGTCGTCTGGACTGATTCTCTCCAGAGAATGTTGCTCCTGCCAGAGGCCGTTCACACACTGGTCTCCGATGGTGGAAAAGGAGCGTTTCATCAGTTTACTGTCCAGTGACATCCCAGGCTACAGTCGGAACAAGACAAGGAAAAAAAGAACTCAAACCTGTTCTTCTGAACTGTTCAACAAGTAAACGCTGTACTTTCCACAACAGCTTCAAATTATTTTACTAAAAACTCCGTGTAGTCGAGCCGAACAAAAAAGAAAAAAAGTAAAAAAATAAAGCTTGGAAATGGATTTTTAAATGGACTGGTAACTAGAGATGGTTTAAAAGGGTGTTTTCTGAGTTTTCTCATGTTTGGTAAAAAATCCCTGCAGCAGAGGTTTGGACTGACTGAAGAAGAGGAAGGTGATTCATATCTGAGAGGAAGAGTCTGTACGATGTTTGTAATGAGGTGAAGGAAGCTCACCTGTGCTTCAACAGCCAATCGAGGCATGGAGGACGCTCTGATGGACGCCGTCCTCTGAGGTGATTTAACAGCCGCTGGGTCCTGCCTGGTCGGCTGTAGTACCTGGTTGTACTCCACGACATCTGGCACCTGCACCGACGACAAAAAGGAGAACTGAGTCACTGTTATTACTGTACAAATGCTTCTCCAGCCTAGTAGTTACCAGCGTATGAAGGTGATGTGGGTGAAAGTGACGGGGGAGGTGGTAGGGGTGGTACGGCGTACGATAGTCGTCTTCAATCGCCTCCTCTTTCTCCCTAGAATGTGACGGTGGCTGCAGGAACATCTCTTGGGGAGAGATGGGGCTGAGAGCCAGGAAACCACCTCTGGTTCTGAGAGAACACACACAGAGACCCAGACGGAGGTTAAGACTGGACCTGAAGTGATAAGGAACCACAGGGGAGAACAGCGTCTGCACAGATAATCAAATGAGGAAACAACAGCAGCGTTTACAAAGCAGATCCAGCAGTGTGTCTGAGGAACGACAGGGATTTGGCGTTGCACAGGATTTCCTGCGGCAGAGAGGACGCATCCATGCGCTGGAACATCGGAGCGTGTTTCTGCAAAGTGTCAAAGAAACACACGCCACACATATGCATAGTTCAGATGTGAGTGTGTCTGAAGTTTGGAGTTTACTGTAACTTCAATAGAAATATCATTAATATTATTATTGATTAAACAATCTCAAAATACTCTACAGACATGTTGTTTCTTTACAAGAGTGTATTTATTAATTATTCGGGTTGGATTAATATTTTTAATTCACAATCAATTTGAATTTATTCAGCTACATTAACAAGGACAAAACATCTTTTTCAGATTATGCTGAAACGTGTCCTACCAATATTAATATTATAAAAATACTACTGCTGCTATTAATAATATATTAAGAAGATTTTTTATATATACTGACGAGATAATAATTATAATAATTTAATGGGTGCTGTTTGCAGTGGGAACACAACTAGTCTAACTGTGAGCAACAAGAACAGATCATAAAATAATCCAGATGAACCAGAAACACCTGTTCTTCTAGCTGCTGCTTGAGTTTTTTAGCCTTGCTCTGTTTGTAGTAGTCCATGATCATCATGGCGGCGTAGATCTTCCCTATGGTCATGTCGCTGGCTGAAAGACAGGAAGTAGAATTTGACACATGTACAGCAGTGATCAGCAGAACAGGCTCAGTTTTTAGTGTCATAGAAGGCAGGAGTCTGACGTCACCTTTGTGAATAGGAACGAGCAGGTCCAGAGTCTTCTGGGAGAGATGAGGCCAAATGACACTGATCTCCTTCTGCAGGTCCAGGTCCATCTGATTTCTGTCTTCTCCCCCTGGAAATCCACAGCAGAGAAGACACAGGGATATTAAAATGATTCTTTTTTTTTTCAACACCCTCCGTCAGGTCCCGGCGCTGCGGACTAACCTCTGGCTATCTTCACCTCCAGAGCGGTGCGAATGAGAGCCATGAGCGTGGAGGTGAAGTGGACGGACATGTCGTCGTCCACCGGCATGTTCATCAGGACCAACCTCTGGTGGCAGCAGTAGAAGCGTTAGTTAGTGACAAACCGGGGACAAGTGAGAGACAAAGACGTTTCTACTGCTGAGCGGCTGAGGCGGCGCATGAGACGTTGACAGGAAGTTGGTTGATTGACTGATTCTTACAGTTTAATCAGAATAAGATCAGAATAAGATCAGAGTACGATCTCTGGAGTCTATGACTTAGTTGTTGCGTTACAGTGAAGTGCCAAGAGTCTTAGTCTCAAAACTTGTCTCACTTAAAAAAAGGAAAAATATCTCAGCTTTCTCTACTGTACAATAAACAATTGTTCAAAAGTAAAAGAAATAAAAAAATCTGTTTGGAAACTTCAGCTGCATTTTTGTGTTAGCTAAAAATGTCTTAATTTTTAATTATATAATTTAAACAAAAAATAATATTTGCTGGAAGAACACTGTGGAATATTCTCCACTGTTAACATTTCAACAAAGTCAGTAACTTTGGAATTTAAAAAACAGTTATTTTGGAACCAACGCCTCTCGTCTGATCATCGAAATTTAAAATATCATCATGAATTCACTTTCTATGAATATTATATATTGTTCCCGTTTTACTACTTTTTCTCGTATGTTGTTTTTGTCTAATTCCACACATCCTGTGTAAATATTGTGATGCTTAAATCATTGATAAAAAAAAGAAAAAAAAAAAGAAGAAGGACTCACACGTCACACTGCAGTTAGAGAAAAGTGTTGGTCTGCGATGGAGCATGCTGCAGGCTGACAAACTCACAACACACAAACCACACAGATGGAACAGTGGGCGGAGACGCATGCAGGACGACTACTGTATGTCAGAAAAAAGACAAGTTTGAAAGACACGTCAAGACGTGGAAACCTTCAGCATGTAGATGTTTTACAACGTTATCTCCAAACGGCCTCAGAGAAATCAATGTTTGAGCGACAGATAACGGCGTCGTATTTCACTGCCACGATGCAAAGCATATGCATTAAAAAATACATAAAGTATTACAAGCAAAACTGCATCATATAATCAACAGAAAAATGCGTTGCCTTTCCAACAAACAACACAGAAAAATGAAGTTGATCAGCTGATAATCCTGCAGACTAACACATTAATCCCCAGGTTAATCTACCTTATAAGCCACCTTGGAGGGGCATTTCTTGCCCAGGCCTAGAGGTGGTGACATGTTGGTCAACATCTCATACATGTCTGTGTAATGGATACGACCACTGTGGTGCCAGGTAGCCATTAGGATGAAGATGAGGAAGAGGAATGAGGAGACGGAGAGGGGAGGTGGGAGGGGGGGGGGGTAGAAGAACGATGTTGGATTGGGATCAGGAACGGAAAAACAGCAACGTTTTCAGGAATCCCAAAGGAAGGGGGAAGACAAAGGACCAAAGACGGAGGAGGAGAGACAAGAGAGAGGATTATTCCAAGGTTGAACACAGGAGGAGGAAAGTTGAAAATGCAGGAGAAAAAAAACCAGGTTGTTCTCTTTCTATGCTGAAAACAGGGCATAGAAATCTGGGGAAGGAGAAAACCTCAGACAGGATGATCCGAAGGAATGAAAACCTCATCCAATCTGGGGCTAACAGATACTTACACTGTGTAAAGATGATGTTTTTGTGTGTGTTTTTCTTTTTTTAATTCAAAACTTTAAAACTTTCTAATCCCTGGTCAAAAACAGCCATTTCTTTTCACTCGTCATCTTCACAGTAACACCAGCCGCTGAGACTGGAGCGCCTCTTTGTCCTGACTAACAAACACGGTGATTGATGGTGAAGGGAGGCAAAAGGAGGAACAGGAGGAAGTGGTTCTTGACATGGGGGAACCAAACCTTGCATGCCACCCTGTGTGGGCAGTTCTTCCCAAAGCCCAGGGGAGGCGAGATAGTGCGTACAACTTTGTACATCTCCTTATAATGGATCCTACCACTGAAAAGAACACAAGTGTCTTTAGTTGTTGGTCAGTTCAGCTGGGAGGTCCAAAAAAAAAAGGGACGGACAGGAAGTTATTCCTCTGGTGAAAAGGCATCATGTCTATTAATATGAAAAAACAATATTAAATATAACGTTCTTTACAGTAAACATGCAGGACGTTGTTCATTAAGTCAAGAGAACACACACCTCAGACAGACGTTAACACACCTGGGTTTACCTGGAAACTCTTCATTTAAAACATTTTACTCTCAACCAACTTGAACTGTGCTGAAAAGAATCATTTATTTACAGAAATGGTTCCAGGAAAATATTGATGAATTACTTTATTGATCCCTGTTACTGTTGGACCACGACTATTCACGTCAGCCTTAAACACTTTACAATATTATCCTGGACCTTTTGCTAATAATAAAGGGAGACTTTCATGTGTGTCCTTGTGTGTGTGTGTGTGTGTGTGTGTGCACAGGCAGCTCTTTGAATACAGATGTCAACAGGAATGAGGAGAAGGTAACACTGACCAGGCTGCACGATCATACTCCCCCCAGATCCGTACAAACTCGTCCAGGTGGTGAGGACCGAGGATGGACGAGTCTCTGGTCAGATACTCAAAGTTGTCCATGATCACAGCCACGAAGAGGTTCAGCATCTGTGTGCAGGACAAACAGAAAGACGTTGATATGTCTCTACATTAATATGGAGGAAGGTTGTGACTCTGCTTCACTCACCAGGAAGGAACTGAAGAAGATGAAGGAGACAAAGTAGAAATAGGCGAAGTCAGAGCCACAGCCGCCCTCCGGCTCCGAGGACAGAGAGGGGTCTGTCTCACACTGCTGTCCCCCAAGACAAGACAACATGATCTCCTGCCATGACTCCCCCGTGGCACTCCTGGACAGAGACAGACAGGAGACAGTGAGACAGAGACGGACGGACGGTGGTACGATGACAGCCGTGACTCCATGAAGACCTGCGTCACCTGAAGAGCAGCATCAGAGCGCCACTGAAGGATTTGAAGTTGTTGTGCTGGTTAATGTGAGTCTCCTCGTTCAGCTTGATGTTTCCAAACACCTGTTGAACACGTCAAAAAAAATATTACGATTTTATTTATACAGCAAAAATGTCACCTGATGTTTGCAAAGAAAAATACACGAGCAAAGTGAAACAGAAAGCAGTTTAGGGCAAATTACTGGTAAATGTAAAAATATCATGTAAAAACTGACGACAACAAGGATTTATATTTAAGAGAAACTGCGTCTCGTGACGATGAACCACATCTTAGACTACGTTGATGAAGCGGCCGTCGCTGCTGCGTCTGACCTGCATGCCAATGATGGCGTAGATGAAGAAGAGCATGGCGATGAGCAGGCAGACGTAAGGCAGGGCCTTGAAGGACTGGACGAAGGTCCACAGGAGAATCCTGATGGTGTAGCCCTGTCTCAGCAGTTTGATCAGACGAGCAGCGCGGAAGAGTTTCAGGAAACTCATGTTGAACGTGTCCACGAACTGGAAAAAGGACAGAAAATAGGAATATTGGAAATAGTGAAAACTGTCAACATCATCATCATCGTCATCGTCATCGTCATCGTCATCGTCATCGTCATCATCATCATCATCATCACCTGCAGATCTACCACAATCTCAGTGATGCTGCCCAAGACAGTGATGAAGTCAAAAATGTTCCACGTGTCTCGAAAGTAGTTCTGAAACAGGACAGGACAGGTACGTAAGGTCAAAGGTCGAAGATTTTTATTGGACAAGATTTTCTGGTGTCATTGGTCTCGGTCCGTGCTCACCAAAAGGCCGAAAGCCATGATTTTGAGGACACACTCCACAGAGAAGAGAACGGTGAACGCCGTGTTCAGATGCTTCAGCACGGCTTCGTACGCCGGTGGCGCCGAGTAATACTGAAAATTTAAAGGCGGAGGAGATTAAAGTGGAGGAAATGTGTGGCTCAGTGACATAAGAAATGGAACATTCCCAGGAAGCGTGAACCTCAGCTCTGCACCTCTGCAGATCTACAGGTTGATGGAAGATTCCTCCAGACCCATAAATCACGCCTCGCTCCTCAGACCTCTCATCTGCTGCACTATAAAAGGAGTCATTCCTCCAGAGGCGGCAGCCAGAGTTAATGAGGTCATGTTAAATAGCAGCCCACGGACATTAGGGATCAATATTTAATACGGGCTGAGTCACACTACGTCTGTGTGCGCGGCCCAAATAAAGGGATATTCAGTAAAAGTGAAGTGTAACGTCAGAACATCATCATGGAAATGTAACAGTGACTGAGGTGAACAGCACAGCTCCCTGAAAAGAATCCTCACTATCTGCACGTCTGAGTGAGGAGTGACACTTCTGGGTTTATTTAAAACCCAAGTGTTAACAATCACAGGCTCTTAACAGAACAGGCTGTAAAAACAACCTGAGCAGTGAGTTGGAGAAACGATGATGAAGAAACAGAAGGAAGAAGGTTAGTGAAAAAGGTTAGTGAAAGTTAATGCTCTGAACTGCTTTACTCCTACTGTAACTATTAGTTATATTAATAACAAACAAATCCTGCTGTCAACTAAAAACAAAATGGCTCCCCCGCAGGTTTATTACCATCTGATCTGTTAATAACTCTTAGATTATCTGGAGACCAGAGATATTAGTTGTTGGAGTTTTAACAAGGTTTGTTAAACAACTAAACTTCATTATATTCCTTGTCATAATGAATCTTTAACAGCAAACAGATGTGGAACAAATTATTATTGGAATGGAGGTTATTTACCACATATTTCACTCTAAACAGAACTTTGTGTCTCTCTTGTTTATATATCCTGTCTTTAGTGATGATTTTTTAAGTATATTTTTTTTTCATTCTTGCTTCTTTTTCCTCACCTTCATCATCAGTACGATGGTGTTGAGGGCGATCATGGCCAGGACAGTGTACTCGAAAGACGGCGACACCACAAAATGCCACAGACGGTACTGGAACGTGTGACGGTTCTGCGGCATGTAACGAGTGAGGGGCTTAGCACTGATGGCAAAGTCAATGCACGCCCTCTGGAAGGAGAGCAACAGAATTATTAGAAAAAAAAACATGAAATTGTGACAAACTCCCCAAAAGAAGTTTTTTTTTTTTGTCTTAATTTTTGCATTAACGCTGTGTCACCTCGTTCTTCTCCAGGCTGCACTCCTCCATCATCTTATCCCCCTGTTCCTGGAAGGTGATGATGATGAGAGCCACAAAGATATTGACGAAGAAGAAGGGAAAGACCACAAAGTAAATGACGTAGAAAATGGACATTTCCATCCTGTTGCCGTGACTGGGTCCTCTGTCCTCTTCAGTCACATCCACCGAGTGCTGCAAGACCCTGAACAAACACAGACACCACATTGATGTTCCTGTCAACAAGACCAACTGTTGAGCCTTTTCTTCTTTTATAAATGCTNNGCTGAACGTGATGATGGATTTGGGAGAAGGGTCAGATTAAAAATGTCAAACGTTTTTTACGGCCTTTCTGTCCAATAAGAGTCACAGCGTTGAACTCACTGAGGCCACCCCTCTCCTGTGGAGACGGTGAAGAGCGTGAGCAGAGCCCAGATGACATTGTCGTAGTGAAACTCCTGCCTCTTCCATTCTCTTCGTTTCACCTCCTTCTTGTCTTTGGCGTAGTCGATGTAGTAGCCCCTGCAGCAGCACACGGACACACGCGTCAGAAACCAATCGTGTTTCCTTCAGTGTGTGAAAGACCTAAGGTTCATTTCTGATCATTTCTTCTGCTTCATAAACTCATAAACCGTGAAGCCTGTGGAGCCACAGGACCAACAGATATGAAACATTTTAAACTGAAACAGTGAGGAAAGTAATAAAGAAGTGACGCGTCCTTACTGGCAGTCCTTCTCCGTGTCCTTCGAACTGTCAGTGCAGTAGAAAAACTTCCCTTTGAAGAGCTGCACCGCGATGACGGCAAAGATGAACATGAAGAGTTTGTAGACGATCAGGATGTTGAAGACGTTCTTCAGAGACGTCACCACACAGTCAAAGACGGCCTGTGGAGAACGGCAGAGAAAAACCTTGGCACTACACCTTTATCAAACTACTGACGACTGGAAGCAGAAAAACACAGGTAGTTAGATGTAACTACATTACAGTGGACGAACATCTACCTTCAGTTTAGGAAGTCTCTTGATGGTCTTCAGGGGTCTGAGGACTCGTAAGACTCTCAGGGATTTGATGGTCTTAATGTCCCGTCCTTTGTTGTTCCTGCAGAGAGAAAGTCGTCGTCATTGACACAGAAGTAAATAAAAACAAACAACCACTCCATGGCCGACGTCTTTATTTTGCTTTGAGGTGAAAAAGGCGCAGTTACCCCATGACATTACTGTTGACCAGAGGGACATCATTCACAAGAGGCAAACACAAAAGGAAAAGAAAACAGTTTGAATATTTTGATGTTGGATGGATGGTTTGACCAAAGTTAAATAACGTGACTGACGTGAGGGCAAAGGCCACCAGCGCCCCAACCACGACAATGAAGTCCAAAATGTTCCACAGGTCTCTGAAGTAGGAGCCGTCATGGAGGATCAAACCCTGGTCAATCATCTGAGAGTGGAGTAAAAACAAGTTCCCAGTTAACGGAACGGAACAGAACAGAACAGAACAGAACAGAAAACCAATGTGGTCGGAGAGGGAACGTCTTTTAAAAAAGTGAACTCACTTTGATGATCATTTCAAATGTGAAGACTCCGGTGAAAACATAATCAAAATAACGCAGAACCTGCAACAAGAAAAAAAACCAAACAAAGACAGCAAATTAGATGATTAGGTTCATCAAATTAGCTGCTTAATTACCTCCAATTTCAAGCTGTGCTTTGGAAACACGTCGACAGATTTAGTCTATGACAATAAACCTGATTGAAGTCAGTGTTCAGTTTAGTTAACGCTTGTTAACATTCAGTTCATGTTCTGAAAAAAAAAGATTTTGCTTTTGGACTTTTGGACTTTTGGACTCGTCCTGAGTCAATCAGCTGGACCAAAGCTGCCTAAATTACACGTGTCAAACATTTGAAACCAGTAGCTGAGTAGTAGTAGATGATGATGATGATGATGATGAGTAGACTCATGTGTCCATTTACCTTATTCCAGTCAGAGGACGCGGCCACAGGGTCCTCAGCAGCCAGAGCGATACTGCTGGCTGCTATAACCAGCAGGATGGACATTTCAAAGTATCGGAGGTTGACCACGTAGTGACACGCTCGACGGAGCCTGAGGGGGAACAGATGGCAGGGTGAAGCGGAGGTGAAGGAGTTAAAACCAGTTAAAAATATCTTTACATTGTGAACAATCCATTCACATCTTTTCTGTACAAGTAGAAAAAAAACGGCAGCAGCAACAGGAGGAACACAGAACAGAAACTGCAGTTTTTCTAGAGACGTGTGAGGGAGTATCTTACGGATTGTCGGGTTTGAAGATAAACATGCTGTTCGGAGTCACGGTGTTGACAGGATTGGCCGCCCGCGCCTCCTCTTCCTTTTCTGATTTACACAGTTCTGTGTCTTTGCTGTTGACTAGAGGAGGTCAGGAGGAGAAGGCCGTGAAGTACAGAGAGAGAGAGAGAGAAGCACTGATCAGTCATTTAGGTTCTACTCTAAAAAGAGGTCGACACGATTTGGAACGATCTGACCTTGCCTGACCCCTGGAGGCCACAGGTGAAATGGATTTAAAGTACGAGTTCACGAGTCAGGATCATTCACAACATCTGGAACTTTCACAACGGGAAATGACTCTCACACTGGATAGAACTCAGGAACTATGTAGAGCTGAGGGTTCACATCAAGGTTGTCCAAGGACCAATGAGCAAGGCACTCCAAATGTTTAGAATTTGTCAACATTCTTGTCTTGTCACTAGCTGCGAAACACCTGACCTTATACACAAACACTTTTCAGTTGATAATAAAGATAATAAAGTTCAAATCAACACAAATGATTCTAACTTCGGCTTCACTCATTGGATAGAAATATTAGCTTTTATTAGTTGGCCAATCAGGTGAGCCTCATGACCCTCAGCTACTTTAAGCAGTGTCACCAGGGACCTCACATCTTAACAACAGCTCCTTCAGCACCTGTGATGGTGGACAGCTCCAGACCCGGCTGTAGGTTGGACATGTCAACGATGACACTGGAGCTGAGCTGAGACCCGTCCTCCTCCGTCTCCGTCTCCTTCGTTTCCTTATTCTCCTCAGTCACAGTTGAAGGGCGGGGCAGCTGCTGCTGCTGATGCCCCTCCTGTCCTGCAGGGGGACACTCACCAGTGTGGCTTTGATCACCTGGTGGATTCGTGTCCCCTCCCGCTCTCTGATCATCCTGTCTAGATGAATATAGAAAAAAAAAAATCTGTGATAGGTTGAAATTTCAGTAGATTTTTTTTACTAAAGATACAGAAAAAGTTGGCAGAGAATTGGCATCTTCAAATTTATAAATAATTAAATCAACAACAAAGCAAATGAAGCCAAGAACCTAACAACTGACACAAAGTCTGTCGTTACGTCTGTGATGTGTTTTTGTCTCAGCTTTGTCTTACCTGGTCTCAGGTTTGGACACCACCTCCATCTCCTCCGTCTTAACTGGATTTCTATTCCTCTCTTTACTTTCTGAGCGATCGACCAACTGGATATTAATCTGAGAAGATGACCCCTGACCCCTGTCCCCTTCCTTCTGGTGGTAACAGTGCTGTGTCCTCCTGTCCCTGACCCCTTCACCGTCTGGAGCATTATCTGGGGGTCTGAACTTTTTCACCGCCCTGCGTTGGCGATTGCCGTTCAGTCTGGGGCTCCTGAGTTCGTTGGTGCTGTTGTGACTTTGACTGACGTCGAGGTTATTACTCTCAGAGACGGGCTTGGACTCAGGAGGTTCTGGCAAGGTGACAGACTCCGGGACATCAGCAAGAGGAACACTGGAGGGATCCTGTGAGTCTGGCACAGACATCGGAGGCTCAGGTATTCCACCGGCGAGTGTGGCACCAGGAGGCGGGTCCACTGTCACGGAGGAGCCCACATCCTGGCTCTTGGCGACCGAGGCCGAGGGCTCCGTCAGATGTTTTAGGCTCCCGGACAGGGTCTGCTGCACGGCCTTGCGATGGATGGACAGTTGCTGTCCATGTGAACTCTGGTTCTGAGCAGGAGTTCCGTCCTTGTCCTCGGTGGCGTTGCTGAACAGGATCTCTCTGCTGGACATCTGTCGGTGTCTCCGCAGCTGGCTGGTCCTCTGCTCCCACACCGACATCGTCATCCTTTTCCTCCTCTCTCTCCTGGACATGAAAGAGTTAGAGGGGTTGAGTGGAGGCAGGGGACGCACCTCCCTGATGCTCCCCTGCGCCTCCTCTAGGGAGCAGGAGTAAGCAGGCCGACTGCGGTGGATGGCTCTCTTCCTGTACAGGTAGGGCCGCCGCCGCCGGCTTCCCCTGAAAACAGACAGCGTCATGTGTCAGTGTGGGAAACAAAACGTGGCAAAAAGACAAACCACATTTGATTCTACAACTTTCTACAATCTCAGTTAAGTTCTGGTTTATTTTATTTCAAAAATGTCTTGTGAAAAATAAAATATATGAAATAAACTATGTTGTAATTTTAGTGTAATTTAAAAGTAGCAGCTAGTGACAGATCAGTTCCACTGGTGTGGACGTCTGTCTTTCACAGCTGTGATGTCATACATGGAACTAGTTCATGTTGCATTATACTGTAGGTATCAGCACAGACATGTCATTGTTCTTTCACAGCTGTGATGTCATACATTGAACTAGTTCATGTTGCATTATACTGTATATACTATTTTGAGAACGTTTACAGCCAAACTGCATGGTGTAAAAACTGTGTTTTTAAGCATCTTGAACAACATCACTGTGTGGTGAAAATGGATTGGATTTTTTTTTTTAATTAGAAAACCAAATCAGTGACTATGTTGTGTGAAAATAAATAAAATCTGTTTTTGGGTGAGTTTGATCACAGAAGGACTATGGAGCAGAATGACATCAGCAAATATATGAAAAGAATGTGTTGTTTTTTTTTAAAGCTTGACACTGGAGATTCTGAAGGTACAGGACATCAACTCAACAGAACAGCACACACACAGGATGAGTGTGACAGGGTTAGCAAATCAGGCAGAAGTAAGCGAGCGACTGAGAGAGCAGAACAGACAGTTACTTACTGGGGCGTGGACTCTTGTGTGGTCCGTGTTATCAATGAGCCATTGGTTGAAAACAAGACATTAGTGCTTTTGTGAACAGAGACAAAACAGTCCAGGAGACACACAGCAAACTGTCCTTCGAAAAGATCGCGGCCGCTGACGACCTGCGACACGTGACTGTCGGCGTCTTTAACAGCTGTTTGAGGAAATTATCACTGAAAGACTTTATAAAAACACACGCTGGGATGAAGTTGTACTTTCAAACATCAAAATCTTACCACAAAAATAAATATATAATGGTTCAAAACCATGCGGGCCTTTTGGTGTGTGTCTCCATCGGACTCAAAGCGACACATCGACAAACGTGATGGTAACGTTATTAGAAACAGTTGAACAACATTCATAAACAACAGTCGGCACAACAGTGATAAAAGACTGGTTGTTAGCAGTATGAGAACAGATAAAAAAAAAAAAACACAACACAAAGATGAACTTCATCAGAGAACCAGAGCAGGAAACTCTTAAATATCTTCTGAACATGAGCGTCACACTGGGATGCAGGTCCACGAACCTCACCACATGCTGGTGACACTGAACCACAACTTCGAGGTTGACGGCAACAGCCTTCAAATCTTTCTCAGGAATACTTCAAATACTCGAGCAGAAGGCAAAGGACCGAATACTTCATAACGGAAGAAAAACGTACACACACGGAAATCACTCTTCAAATCTCTCTCTGTTTTTGTCCTTTCTCTGTTTTGTGCGTTTCCTGTGTGTGTAGTAAAGTGTTGAGTTTCAGTTTTTCTTCCTTTATTCATGCCGACCAGGCACATGCTCCAACATGCTGCATCCGTCGCGTTACTTTTTTATTGGGCAAACACTTGCCATGCAAAGTTCTTCCTCAGCTTCAGTGAGGTCACGGGGTCAAGTCAGTCTAGACTAGAGGTAAGAGCCGACGTCAGACTTAAATCCAAAACCCTCCTCAGGTGACTCGTCTGAAAGTGATTGTTGGTCCCAACTCCTCCTGGTGTCCCAGTTTCTCTGACCTGGTCCTGACACTAATTCCACCCTGATTTCTGTTTGGCTTTTAAAGTTTCCTTTTCAAGTTTTACTTTTCGGGAGAAAGTGTAAAGAACTTCATGTTATAAGTTTAAACATTTTCTTCTAAGTCAGGCCAAATATTCCCTCTCTGTCCTGATATTTATTTGTTCCTTTTCTTCACATTATTCTTTCAAAAATGTTTTTTTCTTCACTATATAACTATGCTATAAATAATAAAATTGTATTTGTTTTTATCAGTGTGAGGCCAAAGGATATGACTAATGTTGTTAATTTATTATAAAGAGATCTGGTCCAGGATTTGTTCATCCAACAGCCCGAGTGAAAGTTTTGCATTAAATAATGTTCAAATGAGAAATAACGAAGGAAAACATACTGGACTCTGAGCCTTGTTATCCACGTGATTTCATCTAACAAACCCTCTCTCTCTACAACGAGTTGACCATTTATCAACACGGACTTTTAACTGACTCTTATTACACATCAAAACCCTAACATGTCAGTGACAGTTCTGGAAACGTGTTAAACCCAATAAAAAGGCCGGAAACTTCAGAACATCACTGCAAGCAGAGAAGGACGGGCCGTGGAATGAAAAAGTATCAAATCTTCCACATTCCCATGCAACAAAACCAGATCAGAACTCTTTACTCTTGTGCACATGCACATGCACTTGCAGCGTCTTTGACAGAGCATGTGAAACCAGTCTCTGAAGATAAAGAAGAGTAAGAACCACCTCTTCTGCAAAAACAGAAAGCTTGGAGAAAACAAGGTCACTGAGAGAAACTCGACGTCGCACACACACACACACACCCTGTGTTCACTACATGGACAGAGGGAGAGTTTGAATGTCACATGGACACACACGGAGTAAGTCATCTGAACACAGTAAGTAACCACAGAGTAACCCTGTCTCCATGACAACGGTACAGGCACCTCCCACCCCAGTGTGGAGCAAGTAACCATGGAGACACAAGACCTTAACTTAGAGAGAACTGCAGAGCTGAGAGCAGGCAGGGGTTTAAAAAGAAACATGTTTCCACGAGTCTCTGCTGGAGCAGCAACAAAGTCAACGTTTACACCACAGCTGGACTAATGCGCTGACCTCTGTCTGTTTACAACCCTCTCCACATTAATATTGATCAAATTCCACGAATTCAAATCAGGTCAAAAAGTCATGCAGACCGTTGAGACTGTGGGTCCGACCGAGAGCCCACGCCCTGTGGAGATCAGAGGAGCAGGTCAGGCAGAGAGAAGGCGCCGGCGCACGGCACTTACTCTGAAGACATGAAGGAGGACAGCGGTCCCACCTCCTTGGCTTTCTGGAGAGCGTGCTTCTGGTTGAACGCTGCCTCTGCTTCTTCTTCATCCTGATCAAAAGACAGAAGGTGCAGCTGTAGAACTCAGCTTGAATAATTAAAGAAGAACTGATGTAGGAACGATTCAAGAGCAGCACTCCACCAGAGGAAAAAAAGGATCTAAAAGTTCTAAATCACTTGTATCTTTTAGGACCTTAAACATTTATTTTTTTTTTACCTTGGTGAGTTCTTGGGCATTGGCAAGATTATCCACAGCAATGGCCAAAAAGACGTTGAGCAGAGTGTCTGGTCGGATCAGTGTTCAGGACTGACGTAACACACGACAAACAATTATACTTGGTTTATATGTTTCAATGACAAACTTCTATTTTGTAATTTTTAAAAAATTCTATTTTTTATGTTCAAACAGCTTAAGAAACGGAGAGATTTTACTCTTTTATTTTTGCCTAAATAAGATCCAAACAGAAGAAATCGGATGATTTTTCAGGACAGACATTTACTATTTAGCCTGAAAAGTTAGGATTTTTCAGGACAGACATTTACTATTTACATCAACATTGAGGACAATATTCAAAACTGTTCACAAAAATATACAACAAATAAGGAACTTGCCGACACTTTACAAAACCAGCATCAATTTTTTTTGTCAACATTTCTGAAGGAATGAAAAAACCTGCCACAGGTGACAGAAGTAGAAGTGAAGGATACAGTTTCCAAACAGGGTGAGGACGATGAAGTAGACGGAGGACCACATGCCGGACTTCACTCCTCCTTGAGAGCGAATGCCGTTGTACATCACCTCATTCCAGTCCTCTCCAGTGAGGATCTGTTGACAAACACGGACACAGTCACAAAAACCACCGACGTTTGAAGCTGTGGTGTGAAACACATTAAAAGTTTCCCAGAATTCCCAGACCTGAAAGACGGTCATGATGGCTGCAGGAAAGGTGTCGAAGTTGGTCGGAGTGTAGTCCTCAAAGATGAACCTTGAAAAGGAAGCAGCTTTTATTCACTTATTTTTATATTTTCAGCCAAAACATTTATGAGTGTCTGGCAAACGTTTTTTTTTTTTTAATTTTCTTTTAAAACGCTGCGTCTGTTTGACACTCCAGGTCTCAGCCTGCCTTTATTAAAAATAAAAATTAGACGAGTGAGGAGGGGAAACTGCTTCAGTTCAAGGCTCCTGGTGAAATGAAACAACCAGGGAGGATTCATTCAAAGTAAAAAAAAAAACCTGAATGGAATCAGCCACATTTAAAGATTATTTAAATGATTCCATGGGCCACAGCAGATGAAACGTTTCTTTATCTTTGATTCCATTCGTCTTTGTCTGCATGTTAACAAAACGTCCTCAATTTCAGCAAAGATAAATTGGTAAAATTGATACATTTTTTGACCGTTACCTGCCACCGAAGAGCTGCATGCCGAGAAGCGCAAACACAACAATGAAGAGGAAGAGGAGGAAGATGAGGGAGATGATGGACTTCATGGAGTTCATCAGAGAGACCACCAGGTTTCTCAGCGATGCCCAGTACCTGGACAGTCACAGTGTTGACGAAAATGTTAAAAATACATTCATTTACAACTTCAAATTAAAACAAGCCTGTGCAGAGGGAGTGTGAAAAGCTCCTCCCGCCTGCACGCCAGCTTCCTGTCAACACGGCGCTCTCGTCCTGCTGCTCGTTTGACATTTCAACAGACGTCGAGGACCGTGTCAAAGACTCACTTTGTGATCTTGAAGATTCTCAGCAGACGCAGAGCTCGAAGCACGCTGATGCCGAAGGAGGTTCCAGGCCTGAAGAAACCCCACAGAACCTCGAAGATGCTGCCGACAATCACCTGCAGACGAACACACGTCCATGAGAATCTGCTGCTTTACACACCGTCAAGTATGGAAGTAAACAACTGACAACTGACAACTGACAAGTGAGAAGTGACAGAGAGGAAGACAGTAAACAGTGAAACAACACATGATCCTGAAATATTTCTCCCCACTAGAGAGAATTCAACATCGACTCGGTTACTGACGCTGCAGTCAAAGCAGTTAAAGGAGGAGTGGAAGTAGAGACGAGGTCCCAAGCTGTACATCTTCAGGAACATCTCAGTCAGAAACAGAGCCAGGAACAGGAACTCGGCGTAGTCTGGAGCAGACACAGGAGAGTGGTCAAAACTCACAACCCAAACAGGGACAGTTTAAACTTTCAGCTTTCACCGCGGTGCTAAAAAATGTTTTTTTACTTCATGCTGCTCCTTAAACATGGAGCCACTCACAGAGGAAGTTGGACAACCAGAGAGGCTGGTTGTGATGAACAATGGCCACACAGAGCGTGTTGAGCGCCACGAGGCCGAGCACCGTCCAGTAGAACGTGTGCGTCTTCACCACGCGGCGGATGGAGATGCGCAGAAGTCGCTCCTTCCTTCTAAAATAGGCAGCGGGCCCTCTCCTGGCACTCCTGATGCTGGCTCGGGCCACGGGGACGCCTGAGGCGGCGAGGAGGCAGAGGAGCAGAGAAGCAGAGATTATACAGCATGTTCCCACTCTCAGTGTGGGACTGGGCTCCAAAAATGAGATTCTAACAACCTTATCAAATATACACCGAAGCATAGCGTGCGCATGATGAGTCCATATTTATGAGTCTGTCCGGACGCCCACTCACCCACAGAGGAGATGTCACTGTATTGTTCCTCCCCTGCTTGGCCTCGGCTCACCACATCCATGCCTCTCCTCTTGATGGTGGTGGCTCTTTTCAACACTGCCGACCGAGTACGGTGATTAGTACGACGGCTGAAGCCGCTAACCAGCCGACATCACACTGTATTCATGTCATCTGGGAGAGTTTTTAGGCCATGTGACAGGATGTGGCCCACAACCGACAAAACTGTGCACCAAACTCCAGCCTCCACTGCAGGTTTTTGTACCTCATTAGTGAGTAATTCTCTCCAGTTTTACAGCAGACGTTACAGAGCTGATCTTTAGTCACTGTTTAGCTGCTCTTCTACATTGGTACTTCATACTAAGGTTTTTCTCTGGAGGTCGCTGTGGTCAACATGGCCCAAAAGCTGCACATATGAAAGTGTGAAAAAACGAGATGATAAAAAAACAAGACAAGCTCATGCCTGTGGATTTGTTGCTGAAAGGGAAACGTGAGATGATAATAATGACTGAGCTGAAGGAGACAAAAATGAGCAGTTAATGTTGAGCTAATGATCCAGACAAGTGTGTGTTTCCTCCTCTGCTCTGGTGCAGGCCATGCTCCGGGGACGGACGACTCCACGATCCATGCACCGTGTTTTTATTATTCAAGCTGTGTACGATCAAGTCCTGCCGTACAGCGTCAGGAGACGGAACGTGCAGCGTTTACATGCCGACCTCACCATTATATGTGTGTGTGTGTGTGTGTGTGTGTGAGATCTGACCTTTACACCAACAGCTGTGTTGACCTTTGAACCTTGTATCTTGTCATGTTTTAAAAACAGCTTCACTTCAATATTAACTTAAAAAAAAAGGCTACTGATCCGTCACACACACACACACACACACACACACACGTGCGTGCGTGCATGCTTCCTGCTGCCTTTTCAGATCAGAGGTTGCCAAGGAAACCACAGCGCAGCATCTTTTTTTGGTAACCACAACGTGAGCATCTGCATTTATTTCCATCTGGACGAATAACGAGAACTCATTTGTTCAAATTCTCTCTAATGTGAATGTGAAAATTCTTGGTCTCTGAATCTCACACCGCAGGAAACACGTGGCCACCTGAACGCTTCACTTTTTTAATGTAACGTTTCGATCCGTGTGAGTGTGTGTGTGTGTGTGTGTGTTCAGGAGATGCAGAGAGAAAGAGCAGAACAGATGGGTTCTCACCGTAGGCACCACCTGTACTCCACTCTGGGAGCCTCCTGAGAGCTGCCAATCAATCAACATTTAATAAAAGCCCTGCTGGTTCAGTGAGGAGGAAAGGTCAGAGTAGAGTTACCCTCGGTGCCGGTGGGCGCAGCGTTATCCTGGGTTTATATCTGTGTATATAAGTCAGCTGCCCACTGACAGCCAGGCTGGAAACAAACCCACAACCCTGCGGTGCCATTCTGAGCAACAGCCAAACACTTCTTTATTTCTTTATGTCTTTTTATATAAAGCATCACTTTGATATTGAACCAATCCAGCACTAAATGCCAACATGGGTTTGATGCAGGGCATGGATGTTCCATGACAACGCGGCAGAAATATTAACAGACCACTGTCGAGAAAACGAGTCTGAGAAACACAGCGTTCATGTCTCCACCTTAGGTTTAGACCCCGATCATCGGATCATGATTATGAATATTCAACTGACGAACAAGAACAAGAAATA